TGAAATTCCATGGAGAGAGGAGCAAGCACCATTGTTTCCTCTCGGACACCACCCCCACATACAATGTCACAACCCAGCAACTGGGTTGCCCTGCCCTGGAGAAAACCTAAGGCTCTGCCCTTTACTACGTAACAGGCATGACCAGACCCTTCCCCAAAAATGGCTCAAACAGAAGTACAAATCAAAACTACAGAGCCAATACTTTTAAGCGACCTAGAGATAGCTAACCTATCAGATGCACAGTTCAAAGCACTGGTGATCAGGATGCTCACAGAATTGGTTGAATTTGGTTGCAAATTAGATGAACAAATGAAGGCTACCATAAGAGAAATGAAGGAAAATGCATAGGGAACCAATAGTGATGGGAAGGAAACTGGGACACAAAACAATAGAGTGGACCAGAAGGAAGAAGGAATCAACCAAACAGAAAAGAATGAAGAAACAAGAATTCAAAAAAAATGAGGAGAGGCTTAGAAACCTCCAGGACATCTTTCAACGTTCCAACATCTGAACTATAGGGGTACCAGAAGGAGAAGAGGAAGAGCAACAAGTGGAAAAGTTATTTGAACAAATAATAAAGGAGAACTTCCCCATTCTGGCAAAGGAAATAGACTTTCAGGAAGCTCAGAGTCGCAAAGAAGTTGGACCCAAGAAGAAACACACCAAGGCACATCATAATTACATTAACCAAGAAAATGAAGGAGAGAATCCTAGAAGCGTCAAGAGATAAGGAGACAGTTACCTACAAAGGAGTTCCCATAAGACTGTCAGCTGACTTCTCAAAAGAGACCTTAGAGGCAAGAAGGGGCTAGAAAGAAGTATTCCAAGTCATGAAAGGCAAGGACCTACATCCAAGATTGCTCTATCCAGCAAAGCTTTCATTTAGAATGGAAGGGCAAATAAAGTGCTTCTCAGATAAGGTCAAGTTAAAGGAGTTCAGCATCACCAAGCCCTTATTTTATGAAATGTTAAAGGGACTTATCTAAGAAAAAGAAGATAAAAAACATGTACAGTAAAATGACAGCAAACTCACAACTATTAACAACCACACATAAAACAAAAACAAAAACAAACTAAGCAATCAACTAGAACAGGAACAGAACCACAGAAATGGAGATCACATGGAGGGTTAGCAACAGGGGAGTGGGAAGAGGAGAGAGAGGGAAAAGGTACAGAGAATAAGTAGCATAGATTGTAGGTAGAAAATAGACAGGGGGAGGGCAAGAGTAGTATGGGAAATGGAGAAGCTAAAGAACTTATGACACATGGACATGAACTAAAGGGGGGAATGTGGGTGGGAGAGGGTGTGCAGGGTGGAGGGGAGTGAAGGGGGAAAATGGGACAACTATAATAGCATAATCAATAAAATATATTTAAAAAAAAAGAACAAAGGCATAATCATGGGGATGCCTAGGATGATATTTGTGTGGTAGGCCCAGGAAGCAGCCAGCTCAGGAGGAGTAAGCTCTTGGAGGTAGATCTTCCAGGAAAGAAGTAGAGATGATGGTGATCTGATTGATGCTTGTACTTTGAAGGAATTGATCATGTGGAACATTTGGGAAGAATTATTCATTGTTATATAGCAGGGGTGTCAAACTTGTTTTCACCGGAGGCCACATCAGCCTCAGGTTGCCTTCAAAGGGCCGAATGTAATTTCAACTCCTTATTAGTTAGGGAATGGTTACATTTATACAGTCATAAAATTATTTTGGCCCTTTGAAGGCAACTATGAGGCTGATGTGGCCTGCAGTGAAAATGAGTTTGATACCCCTGTTATATAGCAATTAAAAAACAGCAAGTATTCATTTCACTTAAAATATTGTACAGGAGAGACTTCCAGCCAAGATGGAGCAATAGGTAAACATGCTTCACCTCTGCACACAACCACAGCAAAAATTACACCCAGATTTGTCAGAAAATCAAGCTGTATGGAAGTCTGACAACCAAGGATTTAAAGAAGCCACATTTATCCAGATGGGTAGGAGGGGCAGAGGCAGAGGCACAGAGAGGAGTGGAGAGGAGGTGGAATAGGTGATGCCACATTCAAGTATGGTAGATAAAAATCAGGAGGGATAGCCCACTGTGGCTTAGTGGGTTTAGTGCTGGCCTATGAACCAAAGGGTCACCAGTTCAATTCCCATTCAGGGCACATGCCTGGATTTCAGGAGTGAGGGATCCCAGATCACCCATGCAGCCCTAGTTTCCAGCTCCAGGAAGATAGTCCCCCTATACTTCTGGCTGCATACACCAGTATGCAGGGTTAGGGAGGCAGAAGAAACTGCAGGATTCTCTCCCTTAAAGGGCCCTCAACAGACTTAGGACTCATGTAGACCCATCCACCACTTGGATTTAGCACCAGGGCAACAGTTGGAAGGGCACAAGTGGCATACAGGGAGAGGGGAGAAAGTAAAGTGATTGGCAAGGGGGCGAGTGCCAGGGAGACAGCTTCCTCTCTGGCAATCTCCAGAGGCTAGGCAGCAGCCTTGTCCCTTCTCTGAACCTTCCTCCACACAGAGCCACAAAGTGGTGATATGGGTTGCCCCACTCTGGCGACTACCTAAGGCTCTGCCCCACACAATTTATAGGTACCTTTTCTATAATAGGCCATGCTACTAAGACTGGGAGTCAAACCAGCACTACCTAAAGAAACACAGGGAGGCTGCCAAATATTGAAGAGACAAGAAAATATGGCCCAAATAAAAACAGAACAAAACTTCAGGAAAAGAACTAAATGAATGGAGATAAACAACCTATCAGATGCAGAGTTCAAAACACTGGTTATCAGGATGCTCAAAGAAATCATTGGGTATTGCAACAGCATAAAAAAGACCCAGGCAGAAATGAAGGTTGCATTAAGTGAAATAAAGAAAAATCCATAGGGAACCTAGAGTAGAGGAGATGAAGCCAAGATTCAGATCAATGATTTGGAGGATAAGGAAGAAATAAGCATTCAATCAGAACAACAAGAAGAAAAAAGAATGGAAAAAAAAAGAATAGAATAAGGAGCCTCTGGGACATCTCCAAACATACCAACATCCAAATCATAGAGGTGCCAGAAGTAGAAGAGAAAGAGCGAGAAATTGAAAACTTATTTGAAAAAATAATGAAAGAAAACTTTCCTAATTTGGTGAAGGAAATAGACATACAAGTCCAGGAAGCACAGAGAATCCCCAACAAGTTGGACACAAGGAGGAACAAATCAAGACACATCATAATGAAAATGCCAAAGATTAAAGATAAAGAGAGAATCTTAAAAGCAGAAAGAGAAAAGTAGGAGTTACCTATAGGGGAGTCCCATAAGACTGTCAGCTGATTTCTCAAGAGTACTTTGCAGGCAAGAAGGGATTGGCAAGAAGTATTCAAAGTGATGAAAAGCAAGAACCTACAACCTCGATTACTCTATCCAGCAAAACTATCATTTAGAATGGAAGGGCAGATAAAGTTATTCTCAGACAAGATAAAACTAAAGGAGTCATCATCACCAAGCCATTATTATATGAAATGTTAAACAGAATTATATAAGAAAAAGAAGATCAAAATTATGAACATTAAAATGGCAACAAATACACAACTATCAGCAACTGAATCTAAAAAACAAATGAATCAAACAAGCAGAACAGGGACAGAATAATAGATATGGAGATAATTTGGAGGTTTATCAGCTTTGAGGGGTAAGGGGGAGAATGGGGGGAAAGTTTCAGGAATTAAGAAGTACTAATTGGTAGGTACAAAATAGACAGGGGGATATTAAGAACAGTACAGGAAATGGAGTAGCCAAAGAACTTATATGCATGACCAATGGGCATGAATTAAGGGGGGATTGCTGGAGGGAAGGGGGGTACCAGGCAGAGGGGGGCAAAGGGGGAAATTGGCTAACTGTATTAAGCTAACTGTAATACCTTAATCAATAAAATATATTTAAAGATGTACAAGAGAGAAAAAATATTTGTGGTATGCTGCCTGGCTTAAAAATTGTGATGTAATTTTTAAAAGAGAAAATGAGAAGGCTTAAAAGTGTTCCCTAATCTTTATTTATAGGAAGTCAATAATGTTTAAGATTAATAAATCAAGACATGGCTTAAAGAAAGGGACAAGTTTTTGTCTTTAAGGAGTAGGACTGGGAGTAAGGAGGGGTAAGTTAAGAGACTTTTTCATTATAATCCTTTCAGTGCTTAAGATTTTTTAAAAGTCTGTATCACTTTGCCTATGTACTTTAATACAAAAAGACACTATTTATAACCCCTCACTCCTGCTGTGTGATTCTAAGTGACACCAGTCAAGTCTGAAGGCAAGCGTCACACACAAGTTGATATAAGTCTCCAGGGGTCAGTAATATTTGAACCAAGAACCCTGTCCTCTGCCATTAGTGGTCATGACCCAGTGAGACCCTGAGAACTCAGTTTCTGGCAATAGTCCTGAGTTTGTCCCACTAATCCAAGTCCCACAAAATCATGGTGGAAAAACCCCCACATGTGAGATAGGTTGTATTCAATTTCTCCCAAGGTCTTCAGCTGATTCTCATCCTAACTGCCTTACTTAAGGTAACTGCCCTGGCTGGACCTCCTTACCTGCCAGAAATGCCTGAGCCACTAGGCTGAGAGGGTTTGTGTGGAGGTGTGTCTTCACTCATGCTATGGAGGTTAGTGGAGTCCCTTCCACTTCTCGTGATCATGGCAGTCCCTGGCTTGTTTGAGTCTGGGGCCCCAAGCCTTGCAACAGTGGCCTCTTCTTAGTCCATTGTGGACTTCTCTGTTGGCTCACCTCCCTAATGAGAACTGGTGTTTATTTGCACAATAATGAAATCTCTGTCCCTGTAAAGTTGACTTCCCTGCAAACTGCTTCCCTCCAAAGCAATATATCTATATTCTAAATGGGAAGTTCTACATTTAAGTCACTGAATTTTATAGTTTTTCTGTTCCTTCACTCCACCCTCCAGATTCCTTACTGTGCTAGATAAAGTCCAGAGTGAATTTCTAAGGAGACATTGATGGAGAGAAAGCCTTTATTTGGATTACAAACATGGGTGATGTAAGAAGAGGCACATGAGAACCATGTTAGAGTGGAAGAACCTTGGGGGGAAGAAGAGAAAAAGGGCCCTCTGGGAATTGGGCTGAAAGAGCAGAGGTGCCAGCCGTTATAGCCACATACACACTCCATGGCTGGCCTCGGGACTGCGCAGTCCTCACGCTTCTGGGACTTCTCTTTCCTTGGTCCGTAGTTTCCTGGCCTCACAGTCCTAAAGTGGTCCCTCCCCAAACTTGTTGGAGGAACAGTTTTGTACCCAAATGTGCTTGGTAGCAACTACTTAGAAGCCACTATTTGTACTTTTTGCAGCTTTTAGTTATTTTGACACCCACCAGAAGTGGCCCCTCCTGCTGCCAGAGGACTCTGATTTCTTTAATAATGAAGGTCCTGGACAATTAGTCCAAGAAGGGCCCAGATTCTCTTCCAGGTTGATGTCTCTGTAGTAATGCCCCCCACCCCCCCCACCAGAGTAGAAAGTGCTGTGGCAGCAGGGGATGTCACCTGAGTTTTCAGTCTGTGGTGAAAAAAAAATGGGAGAGGACAACTCAACCCTCTGTCTCTCCCCGGCACTGGTTCTTAAGCTCCACCATAGCCACTTTAATAGCCCAAACTGGAGGTACCACTGTGAAGTCCCCATCTGGTGGTGCACCCTCCTCCTTTCCCAGGCACCATGGTTCCTCCACCCCATCCCCAGTTCTTAGACCAGACCATCCCTCAGTCTCACCTGTGACTTCAGGGGAAGGTGCACACTCCTCACACTCCCATTTCTTACTGTTGGATCTAAGAGAGGAGCAATCCCTATGGGTTCCCTGGGATCCACACGTAGCACACAGAACGAGGCTCCACCTCCTACAGGAAGACAAGGAAGGGTTGTGGGCACACACACAACACTAACTACCACTCTTGGGATGTTCACCAGAAGCCAGGCCTTTGCTGAGGATTCCCAGGCATTTTTTATTGTACCCACGATGGACATGTGGCTGTGCGCTGATGCAGGAAGCTGCAGTTAGGCACAGACATTTGAAGGGTGCATTTGGAGAGGAACTGGCCCTCAGTGCCTCTCCACTGGGTACAGGGAGAAGCAGATCCTGCAGAGAGACCTGTTCACATGTGTGTGAGTGAGTCCTAGGCTGCTCAAGAATGGGACTTAGCAGTTGTGTTCATCCTGAGGTCTGCAGACAAAAATGGGTTTTTTGCTCTTAATAACTGTGCCAAGGTCTAACTCTGAGATGGCACTAATGAGAGGTCTTTCAAGCCAGAAACCTTTCCCTACCCTTCATCTTCAAAGATGTCTCTGCCTTGTTCATACAAACAGATGGGGGCATCACAGTGCTGATAGCGCTGATACAAGTCTGAGAAAGCCCCTGGCTCGAGTTCCCAGGCAGCATCTCTGCAGTGAGAGAAGAAACAGTGAGTAAGGGACACGTAAACTGGTGGGTGAAACTATTGTCCACCTGGGAGGAACCAGGAAGAACTCAAACTAGCACAGCAAGAGTTCAACAGGCTGCCTGAATAATTTCAGCAAGGCTGGGCGGTGGCCTGGCAGCGGGAGAGGGATGAAGCAGGATGACTGGAACATGGGGCTCCTTAGTTTCATAGTGGAATTCAAGAACCTACCCCCCGACTCATGGAATTCTGATGTCTAAAGCACCCTTTTCAGAGACACGCCTATCCCCCAACCCTCACTGCCCCCCTCCTTTTCTTTTAATACTTGGAAAGCTCTCCTTCCACCCCTTCCCTCTTCACCATGTACTCACTTCCTCTGGAAATCTAGGCAACCACTTCTGGCTTAATTCTTGCTTTAGAATTTCCCCTACCTGTCTGGAATATGAATTCCCATTCTTAGCATTTCTTGAGGAAACTCTTCTCGATTGTTACAATGCGGACATTTGAAGAAATGCTTTGCTGATGTGTGGGCATATTTCTGTAAGAGAAACATGGAAAAACTTTCTGTTTGTAAAAATACTCTTTGATCACCTCATTTCCACTTCACCTTCATCTCACAAAGAGGATGTTGCTAAGAAAGCTTGACTAGGGCTTCCAGGAAAAGGAGTTTGGGTGGGTTAAGGTGAGGGCTGCAAATTCCCATGCCAGACCAGGGACCAAAAGCTCAAGAGAGTTCCCAGAAATACCTTAGTTGTCACCTCTGGCCATGGGGCTTGGCATTGCTGACCCAGTAAGACTCTGGTACCTGGATACATGTTTCCCTTTCCTTCCATCCAAGGAAGCAATGCTGATTAGGAGGCTACTTAACTTATTCTAGGATGAGCTCATTTGCTCTAGCTATCCTGAGGATTTTGCACAGTCTAAGTCTTATCTGTCAATAAGGTCCTACAGGTCAAGGGTGACCTGGGACTGGGCTGACTTTTCTCTGACTCCCTGGGACCAGCCCTGCATACAGGCCTCCAGTCAAGATTGCCCGAGCATTCCCAGGGTGCTCGAACTAGGGCAATTGTGGAAGGTCCCCACAGCCAAGGGAGCCCCACCTGTATGCACTTGCGGTGGTAGATAGTTTGACTACAACATGGACTCTGGATGTTTTCAACACTTGCGTGGGATAAGTCTTCACAACACAGGACGCAGCCTTCCTCCCCAACATTCCCCCATTGGATGTCCTGTGTTGGGCGATGTTTTTCACAAAATGATCTGTGACAGAGTAAATAGACTTGGTTTTGATTTATCATTGATGGAATTTTCCAGCTGCCTGGCCTAGGGAGGGAAATCAACTGCCCAGGCTGGTGCCCAGCGAACCTCAGTGCTGTGGGGGTGGGAGGAGGGGAGGGGGAGGAGAAGGGTGAAAAACAGCTTTCTCACAGCTGCTCTCCCACTCAGCAAAGCTCCTGGGACTATCTCGACAGCCTTTCTCCTTCCTGAAAGCCCCATTTCGTTCTGAGCAGCTGTCTAAGAACCTCAGCTGTTTGTAATTTAAGAAGGGGACAGGAAGCAAGAAGTAGCCCTCGTGAAACTGCCAAGTCAAGACACTCATTATTGACCGAAGGGACAGATTTGCTGGTGAATCAAAACAGGCCAGTGGGAGCTGAACTCTGATTTGACTAATGGCTAATTAATAGCAAGTTACAAAAGGGCAACCCGACTTTTTCCCTTCATCACCCACTTGTACTCTCCAAAAAATTGTGAAAGGCAACCCCTTTCTTGGCCACAAGGAAGGTGGAAGTTTCTGACGCAATGATCCTTCTGGCAGTTGATGGTGGCTCCCTTTTTCTTGCACACAAAGCAGATCTGCAAATGAGATCCCAGGCAGTGCTTAGGACCCTCGAAAAGACAAACAGCATTCTGTGGCACATCGTTCTGTAGAATGGAAATGTTGTGAAGCAACAGCCTTTCCCTTTGCTCAGTGGACCTGAAAGCTCTGTGGCTTCAAGAAGCACTTAATTCTTTTTTGTTTTCCCAGGATGTTATTCCCTCTCCTCACTTAGAATACTACCTACACCTTAGAGAAGCATGGAACTTAAGAGAAGGAGCAGCTGGCAAATCCAGGAGTCCTTTGACTTCTAAATTAGCAACTAGGGAAAAGAACGGAAGCAGGGACGACCAGGGAAGTATGAAAGGAAGCCTCACCAGAGGCCCCCATTCCAGGGGGATTCTAACCTTCCTAGAAGCCCGGGCTGCCTCCTTTTTGATGTCTTCAGGCAGGAATCCATGGAAACCTCTGTTAGACTGGCCCCGCTGAGGCAGCTTGCTGGACAGAATCTGGGGGGAGGGGTGTGCACAGAACCAGGCTGTCAACATTGATGATGGGTGTAAAAATGCAGTGGGGTGGAGAGGACAGGGTAGAAATAGAGCTTGTTGGAATATATATGCATTTATATGGTAATTTACTTAACAAAGGCTTACATAGAATTAACTGTATGATGGATGCTCTAAGTTCTTTTCAAATATGAACTCATTTAATCCTCATAACAACCTTAAGATATAGGTACTATCATCATCCCCATTTTGTAGGAGACATTATGTGACCTGCTCAAGCCTGCAGAAATGCAGAACCTCAGCTCTTAACCGCCTTTGTGCTCTGCTGCCTCTCATTTACTGAGGACTACTTTTGAGCAGTTTGGGGAAACACTCCCTGTGTGTGACCTCATTTTATGTTCACCATGACCTTGTGATACAGATGCTACTGTGATCCTCATCTTACAGAGGAGGCCACTGAACTGCAGCACGGTAAGCATGGCTGGGGTCACACAGCAAGGAGGCAGCAGAGCTCACAGGCACAGTCACAGGCACATTCACAGGCCCCCGGAACCCGCACTCTTACCCCTTCTGCTGGACTGCCCCCGTGGCATAGAATAAATACTCTTCTCAGAGTGTGTTCTCTACAGGAAGGGAAACAAGGCTCTAAAATATGTTCACTGTAGACATTCTGCCTTATAGTGAAAGGAGAGAAACCGAACTTTTTAAAAACACGTTTTAGCTCTGACCACCCTAACGCAGTTGGAAGAATGTCAGCACCCCAGCCCCACTCCAGGAATCTTCCAAAAATATTGGGGAGAGTGCTCAACTTCCTGCAGTAATTACATGTAATGTGAAAGGGGACTCAGGTTATTTTATTTTAACATGATAGAGAAGGTGACCCTGCAAGGTTCAGTAACTTGAGGGCACTTGGATTATAAACATATGTTCCTAATTAGGGTTAAAACTCTAATTTATTTTAAAACTAATTATCTCAGGGCTTTAGGACTACATGAGGATTTCTCTTTTATTTAAATTTTTAAGTATTATTGTTTTCTACAGTGAGCATATATTATTTCTATACACAGAAAAATTAATAGTGAAAGATTAGCAACAATCTAAATGTCCTTTAAAAGGGATTTGTTTTAATACTTTTTGGTATATCCATACCATGAAATACCAATTAGCTATTAAAAAGAAAAAACTAAGCCCTGGCTGGTGTAGCTCAGTGGATTGAGTGCGGGCTGAGAACCAAAGTGTTGCAGGTTTGATTCCCAGTCAGGGTACATGCCTGGGTTGCAGGCCATGACCCCCAGTGACCGCACATTGATGTTACTCTCTCTCTCTCTCTCTCTCTCTCTCTATCTTCCTGCCTTCCCTCTCTAGAAATAAATAAATAAAATCTTAAAAAAAAGAGAAAAAAATAGATTGATATGTTGTATATGAAATGGCCATTAAAAAAGCAATATACAAATAAAAACACTGTGTATAGTGTGTTTATTTTTAAGTTGAAAATGTATATGCTTATACATGCATTGAAATTAATCAAGTCCTGACACCAAAACCAGACAGGACTTACAAGAGAGGAAAATCACAGACCAATCTTTCTCATGAGCATAGATGTAAAAATGAAACAAAATATTAATAAATTGAATTCAGCACCATATAAAAGGGATAAAACATCATGACCAAGCAGAGTTTATACCACAAATGCAAAGTTAGTTTAACATTAAAGAATTCAATTGATGTAACAAGTTACATTAACAAATTAAGGGAAAAAATGATCATCTCAACAGATGCAGAAAAAGTATTTGACAAAATTCAATATACATTCATAATACCTTCCAGCAAACTAAATATAAAAGGGAACCTCTCAAATCTAATGAAAAGAACCCATGAAAAACCTACAGTTAACATACTTTAATGGTGAAAAATTGGATACTGCCCTCTGATGTTGAACACAAGACAAGGACATTCATCATATAACTTCTGCTGAGCACTAGACTGAACATCCTAGCTAGTACAGAAAGTCAACAAGAAATAAAAGACATGCTCTGGCTGGCGTAGCTCAGTGGATTGAGCGTGGGCTGCGAACCAAAGCATTGCAGGTTGGATTCCCAGTCAGGGCACATGCCTGGGTTGCAGGCCATGGCCCCCAGCAACCGCACATTGATGTTTCTCTCTCTCTCTCTTTCTCCCTCCCTTCCCTCTCTAAAAATAAATAAATCTAAAAAAAAAAAAGAAAAGAAAAGAAAGAGTAGAAAACAATACACTAGCATATTAAAAAAAGAAAAGACATAAAGGTTGGAAAGGGAGTAGTAGAACTGTCTTTATTCACACGTAACATAGTTGTGTACACAGGGAACCCTAAGGCATTTACAAAAGAAAAACACAAAAAAACTACTGAATTAGTATGTGAATTTAACGAGACTGCAGGATATAAAATCAATGTACAAACAAACTCCATTTCTATATACCAACAACAAACCTGAAAATGAAATTTTAAAATAGCTTAAAATCACAAAATATTTAGGAATATATTTATAGGATGTGCAAGTGTTCTTCAGTAAAAACAAACAAACAAACAAACAAACATTGCTAAGATACATTTTAAAGGGCCCAAATAAACATTGAACTGTATCATGTCCATGGATTGGGAGACTCAATATTGTTTGTTCACTCTTTAGTGCATTCCCCATCTCAACCTCCACCACAATCCCAAAAACCTTTCTTCTTTTTAATTTAAAGAAAAATTAAAAGTTAACTATAAAATTCATATGGAAAAGAAAAGGACCTAAGCGTCAAAGCAATCTTGGAAAATACCGCAAAACTTACAAAATCCTTAATTTGAAGACACTATAATGCCACAAAAATCAAGACAGTGTTGTACTGGTATAAGGAGTGATAGATCAATAACATAAAATAGGTAATTTAGATGAACAGATATATGTATGGTCAATTAATTTTGAAAAAGGCACTGAGATAATTCAATGGGTAGGTAAAGATTTCTTGGGAAACACCAAAAAAACTAATGATAAAAGAAAAAATTGATAAACTGGACTTCAATATTGAAAACTTTTTTCTTTGAAAGACATCATTAAAAAAATGAAAAGACAACCCAACAGGGAGAAAATAGTCACAATATACATATCTGAAAAGAGATTTGTATACAGAATATACACAAAGAACTCTTACAATTAATTCAGTCAAAAGAACCCAGCTTTTAAAATGGACAAACCACCCTGACTGGTGTGGGTTGGTAGGCTGGGCATCGCTCTGTGGACCTGAAGGTTGTGGGTTTGATTCCTGGTCAGGGCACCTGCTTGGGTTGTGGGCCAGGTCCCTGGTTGGGGACCTGCAGGAGGCAACTGATTGATGTTTATCTCACACATCAATGTCTCTCTCTCTTTCTCCTTACTTTCCCCCTCTCTAAAAATAAGTAAGTAAAATTAAAAAGAGAAACAGACACTTCATAAAAGAAAATATGTAAATGGCCAATAGGCACACGAAAAGAAGCTCAGCATCTTAAGACATCAGAGAAATGCAATTTAAAACTACAGTGCAATACCACTATACACCTAATAGAATGGCTAAAATTAAAAAGACTGAAAATATGCCCCGGCTGGTGTGGTCAGTGGATTGAGTGCCCACCTGTGAACCAAAGGGTTGCCAGTTCAATTCCCAATCAGGGCACGTGCCTGGGTCGCCCATCAGGTCCCCAATTGGGGGCGAGAGAGAGGCAACCACATATTGCTGTTTCTCTCCTCTCTTTGCCCCTCTCTTCCCCTCTCCCTAGAAATAAATAAAATCTTAAAAACAAAACAAAACAAAAAAGACTGACAATATGAAGTTCTAGCAAAAATATTGTGCAACTGGGACTTCATAAATTGCCAGAGGTATAACTGGTATATACCTGGTAGAGTGTAAACTGGTATCACTTTGGAAAGTGATTTGGCAACTTCACAAAATGTTAAACAAATAGTTGGCATATAATCAGCAATTCCACTCCTAGGTATTTGCCCAAGAAAAGTGAAAATGTGTTCACAGAAAGACTTGTGCATGGATGTTCACAGCAGCTTATTGATAATAGTCCCCAAATGGAAACAATGCAAATGTTCCTCAACAGGTGAATAAGCAAATTGAAATATATGCATATCGCAGAACATTACCTGGGAATGAAAAGGCACAAGCTACTAATGCATTTAACAACCTGAATCAATCTCCAAAACTCTTCACTGCATAGACTAAAAGAAGTGAGACATAAAAGAGTACAAACTGTATGATCCCATTTATATGAAGTATATGAATAGGCAAAAGTAATCAATAGATCAGTGATCATCTCTGAGGGGACTGACTGGAAGAGGGCAGGAGGGAACTGTCTAGGGTGATGGGAATATTTATTTTCATTCAGACAGTATTTACATGGAGATATACATTATATATAACATGAGTGCTTTCTATAGTATGTAAGTTATATCTAATGAAAAAATTTGGGAAAAAATCACTTAAAGGACTGTTGCTAGCATTTGCTTCTGGCAAGAGTGAGAAAAATGAGACATACTGCTTTGGGATGAGACTTTTAATTGTATATACTTTATACTGTTAGGGTTTTATACCTGGTATGTCTATTGCTATTTAAAAATTAGATTTTAAAAGAAAAAAGCTATTAAGGAAAACAAACAGGGTTATAGATCTGAGGCTAGATGCAAAAACAGAGAACAGACTGTAGAGCAAAAGCCATGAGACATTCAAAGGGGAACTTGTACTCACAAGACAGAAATAGTGCATGCTGAGATTGTCTTTTTGAAGAAATTCCCCTAATTTTTCAGGATCCCCAGGTTCTTGAAGGCATAGCAGGCATACTGGAATAGAGAATGTTAAGAATTCACTTTTGGAATGTAACCATCTCTCTTAACTACCAGGAGGAGTAGAGTACTGGAAACAGGGTCATTTTGATGAGGAAGGTTGGGTTGAAGTGTTATTTGGTATCAGTTAGATCTTTGTTTAATTTTGGCCACCTTTGAAAGAGTTGGCTACAACTACTCACTTCATATTTTTTTTTTGTCTTAAGTGGACTTAATTAACTTGTTTCTTGAACTTTGGATGTGACATTAAAAAAATTATAGATCCTGAGTTCTTCAGAATCTTAGAGAATCTGGGAAGTAGAACTGGCAGTGAGAGAAGCATGTTTGCTGCCCTATGCAGGTCATCTTCGCTGTGGTTGGGAGGCAGAAGCTGAACAAAACCTCCAATCTTTCTTACCAGGCCCTGAAGATGGCTTCCTCTGGGTCACCCCCCTTGTCTTGGCAGATTTTCTATATGGGAAGGAAGAAGGATCCTGTCAACAGCCCTTGTAACATTTCCCTCCAAATGCCATCCATGGGTCGGATGAAGTACCAGAACGTTTAAAGGCTAACATATCAGTTTTTCTATTTTATATTTTTGAAAGTACAAAGCATACCTACTGAATTGTTTGAATTATGTAAGATAGTAACCATCTTTCTGTTCCTGGTGCCTGTGTTGACTGAATGAATGCAGGAGCAAACATCTTTTTACTATTTCTCCTGTCATCTGCTCTGAATCTCTGGTGCTATCACATTCACAAAGCATAATAAAATGATACTAAAATTAAGAACTTCATATTGATAGACATTATTCTTGGCTCTTTACATGTGTTAGCTCAGTGAATCTACAGAATGTTTTAAAAAGTGGGTGCTATTATTATGCATATTTTCCAGATGAGGAAACAGAAGCATAAAGAAATGAAGTGACCTTTCACAGGTCACTTGTTAGCAAATGTTACACCAGGATATGAACCTAGGAAGTAGGGCTCAAGAGCCAGCACTTTGCTACTAGGGAAAGTCCTGGGAGGATAGGTTACTGGGGAGCTTCCAGACTATCAGTGGTGTGTGCTTGCACACTATCCAACCCTAGCCCCCAACACCATGCAAAGGAGGGAAAAAGTATAGCATATACCACAGGCCATTGAATAATTTATCCCAAACTCCCCTATGTCACCTACTCTACCTCAATCTTTGACATTCCTTCTTCTTTTCTTTTATAGTCTTCATTCGCTGCAGCCTCTCTCTCCTATCTTAAATTCTTCTATATTATTATGAGGACAATACAGGTTCTTCTAGCTATAAAAATAAACAGTGCTTGGTCAGCAATTTTATGCTACAGTTGGTTATCAAGATCCACAGGGTCAAAGCAACAGTGCACTTCACCTCCCAACCTACACAACAGAATATAAGGAACTCACCCAGTGTCAATGCTAGTAATAGCCAATAATTATTAAATTGTGCCAAGAACTGTTCTAGACATTTTAAAAAGAATTTATTTCTAGAAACAGAGGATGGGAAGGAGAAAGAGAGGGAAAGAAACATCAATGTGCTCTTGATGGGTTGCCTCTCACACCCCTCTCCTAACCTGGAACCTGGCCCACAGCCCAGGCATGTGCCCTACCAGGAATCAAACTGGCAAACTTTCACTTTGTGGGAAGATGCTCAACCCACTGAGCCACGCTAGTGAGGGATGTTCCAGACATTTTACATGTGTTAACTCACAAAACTCCCATGCGACAGGTGCCATTATTATCCCCATTTTCAAGATGAGGAGACTGAAGCACAGAGGTCACAGAGGCACTTACTTGCCTGTGGTCAGAGGTACTGCCCTCACACAGCAGCATATGAACTTGGAACCACTGCTTGAACTGGCTAAATGGTTGTTTTCTTTGTGCCAACTAAATCCATGAGGTAGCATGCAGGAAAAAAAGGCTCCATTTGTCCCCAAGTATGGATGCCTTAATTTTGCCCAGTAAAAGATAGATTAGCTAGTTCTTTCCCAGGAGGAGCTTGTGGGATTTCATCTGCCTAAAGCGACAACTCCCTCTAGTGAGAGACCAGAGATTGCACTGACAAACTACCCTTTGGCTCCTGACACTTTTCACCAGGCTCAGATGGCCATTGAGATTTGGCCTGTTCTCAACCTTTGTCCACCTCTGAGCCAAGAGTAAAATGCCTAACTGTGGAGAAGACACCTGCCACTATTCCCCCCACCAATGTCAACCGACTGCAAATTGAGTTTTCATTAGCCAGGGGGAATCCCTGAAGGGGAAGGGGGACAAAATAAGTAAAATCCACTCCTATGAAGGAAGACCTATTTAGTCAGGGGAGAAGAGGACCGCATTTCCTAGGAGAACTGAGTAAATCAAGTCACTCCAGGGACACATACTCCAGCACCCACGTCCTCACTGCACAGCTGGGGAGCCGTGAACATCTTCAAGGACTCAACTGCCTGTAGAATACAACCAGTAAGGCAACTACTAAGGCTACACCGCCTTTCCTCTCTTTGGGTTTGCTCCATCTCCTCTTCTAACCCATGAGTTGCACCTGCAGAAGCAATAATTTTGGATGGCTTTTTACTCAACAAAAGGACTTGGACAGGCTGGAAGAGGAGAGAAGGGCGTGCACTAGGGGATCCACGTAAGGTGACTACTGAACGGTTCCGAGTTGTGGGGAGAGACCCCGATTGTCTAGGAATAGAAACAAAACCTTGAAACTTCAGTTCTTTGCATCACTGGACCAAGACGTTTCTGGAATGGGGTTCTGTGCACACTGGTAGTTACGGGAAGACGCAACAATCTTCAAAGCACGGAAGAAGGGTCGTTGCAAGGAGGCGTTTACACAAGCGGCTCAGTCCGAGATTTCCTATCTGCCCGATGCTTCTTTGAAACGGTTACCGAGTTGTTTCCGCTGGTTAAGGGCTGGGTAAGAGCTTGTTGAGAAAATTAAAAATAGATAAGCGTGTTCGGCCCCGCCGCCACAATAATAAACAATGATTGGTTTGGAAAATACGTGTCGGTGTGGCCACAACAGTCCCCAGGAGGTAACAGCCGGCGAAAGGGCTCAAGGAGCATCCCGCGGAGGCCAGACCAGGATCATGTCGCGCCTGCGGGGAGGCTGGTGCGGGGCCGGGCCGGAGGTCGCCTCCGCCGCTCACTCCTCACGGAACCACACGGGCTGCCGCTCCCGGCCGGGGCCGCCAGCTCAGTCGTGGTCGAGGGCGCCTCTGTCCCGGAGCTTTATTCGTTGTATCTGCTTCACGGGCGGCCGCCCCGCGCGGTGACTGCGCCGGCGAAGGGGGCGAGCGCGCAAACGGGGGCCGGGTCATGCGGACAACGACCCAGGGAGATTGCGGCCCCGAGGACTAAGGCTACGCGGACCGTTGCCAGAGCGGAACCGCTAACGGCCGAGCGCTAACGACCGCGCACCTGCCCCTCTGTTACACTTCTCTACCTTCCCTCGCGCCAAGGGCGTTGACACTGCTCGTCCCGCCCTTCCTCTGGCCACGCCCCCTACTCGCTTCGGACCTGCGCGCTGGCTGGTGGAGTCAAACCCGCGAAGACGAACCCAGAGGCGGGGCGGAGCCCGTCGCTCTGTTGTGACGTGTGCCACCGGCGCTGGCGGGTGACGGAAAGGGGCCCGTTGTCTGTGTGTGGGGCTAAGGGCCCCGGGGGCGTCGGGGGCTCCCGGCGGGGGCGGCGGTGGGTGGGGAGGGCCTGGACATGGCGCTGAGGGGCCGCCCCGTGGGAAGATGAATAAGGGCTGGCTGGAGTTGGAGAGCGACCCTGGTGAGGAGAGGGCCGGCTGGCCGGGCTCTGGGGAGGCCGGGTGGGCCCGGGAGGCGCCTCCCTGACCACTACCTGATCCTCTTGTCGCCCCACCAGGCCTCTTCACCCTCCTGGTGGAAGATTTCGGTAAGTCTCTGCTACCCGCTGGACCCGGGCTGTGGGGGCCCACGCCTGCGCCCTCGCCGCACGGCCAGGAGCTGCCTTTCCCGACTTCTTTCCTTCCCTGATCGCAGGTGTCAAAGGGGTGCAAGTGGAGGAGATCTATGACCTTCAGAGCAAGTGCCAGGGGTGAGTGGCTTGGCGGCAGGACCTCCCTTTACACCTCGAGGGCTCGGGAAGGGTCTGGGGAAGAGTTCCTTTCAAGGGGGATAGTATCAGGAGCCCTAAGTTGTAAAAGCTTATGTAAGGAAGCATCCCTCCTCTTTGGGTGTTTTCCTGATGAAATTACTTTGTTTTCTCCCAGTCTTCCCTCAGCACTTCTATTTATGTAGTAGCACCCCCCCACCCCACCCCCCACACAAATTCTAACCATCCTTTGGAATACAGTTCAGCTGCTTTTTCTGGTCTTCGAGCAGGAAGCCAGGCTCTTCTCTATATGCAGACCACACGGTGCCTTTAATGTGCCGCTGCGCAAGTGCCTTTAATGTCTACGCAAGGGTCTTGTATTGATTGGTTTGTGTGTAGCATCTACAAGGCCCCTCCTGGACGCCCAACCGCAGGGTCTTGCTTTGGTGGTCCTGCAGAATAGAGGTGTGGAGAACTGCTGCAGTGACTGAACTGAGAGTCTCCTTTTATTTCCCAGGAAAGAAGGGGCTGATATGGGTATTCAATTTTCTTCCTTGGCTGCATTGGGGCTTAGGCTTTGGGGTCCCCAAGTGAGAATTGGTGTTTAAATTCCTCATCAGATTTTTTTTGTTCTCACCTTACCCTCTCTTCCTACCTTGTCCTGGGCCATTGGTTTCAGATTTTCTTCTCTTATCCCAGAACCATGTACTTCATAAGGATACTGGGCGGACGCCTGGAGAACCACGCCCAGAAGCTGATGTTTAGACAGCTTGTGGCAGGCTTCAGGTTGTCAGGGCTCAGGGCCGCTTTGGCCAGTGTTGGGCAGAAACCAGGGGAGAGCTGGGATTACAGGAAGAGCACCTGAGTGGTAACTCGGTACAGAGGAATAGGGGGAGGAAAAAAAGGGAATACTGGTTGCCTTCCCCAACTTGGCTGGTTTAGCTCTGTTTCTTGCTTTCCTCAGCCCCGTGTATGGATTCATTTTCCTGTTCAAATGGATCGAAGAGCGCCGGTCCCGTCGCAAGGTCTCTACCTTGGTGGATGATACATCTGTGATTGATGACGATATTGTGAATAATATGTTCTTTGCCCACCAGGTCTGCTGGGCTTTGTGTTCTGTCTGGAGGGTGGGGTGCTGCCATTTTCTTTGCTTGGGAAGTGGAAGTGGGAGAAGGCAGGAAGAGGAGATAGGCAGATACCAAGGATGGTGGTTGTAGAAGTCCCTTGGCAGAAGGAATTGAGCTTTTATTCATTGAAAAAGGGAGACTCTTTAGAGCAGTGTGGGGTCTGAATCCACTTTCCATGTCCCCAGACATTGGATATTTAGTTAAATGAACAAATATTGGGCAAAGATGAGGGTGGTTGTCCAGATACGACTGTTTCTCTCTGTGTCCCCATTCCTGGTGAATGTGGGCCTCAGTTGAGGATGCTGTGTATGGGTGATTGTTCTTGGTTTCACAGCTGATACCCAACTCTTGCGCCACTCATGCCTTGCTGAGTGTGCTCCTGAACTGCAGCAATGTGGACCTGGGGCCCACCCTGAGTCGTATGAAGGACTTCACCAAAGGCTTCAGCCCTGAGGTAGGCCACAGTGCCTTGATCCTGGGTCATAGCTGGCTGGGTGGATCTGGCCTCCAGGGCCACTGATGCTGCCATATGACATTTGGCACTATGAGGCTTTTCATTTTTCATGCAAACATTTATATTACGTTACATTACATTGACACTTAAATTGTGTAAGGCAATTGGTTCTAGACCCAATTTTAAGGAAAAGAGACAAACCTAGGGAAGGAAGGAACATTACTTAATCGATATCATTTTAGGACTTTGTTAGCAGTTTACAGGCCACATTGCTCCCCGTGTCCGCTGATTACTGCAAGGACATTATAGCTCATTTATTTGGGGCTCCAGAGCTCTCTTCTACCCTTAGGAGAGTCTACCTGTGCTTCTGTAGGTTCCTGGAACACCTCCAGGCCTGCTCTCCTGAGCTTTGTTTCTCACCCAGAGGCTCACCTGAGAAGTTGTTCTGATCTGGCTTATTTTCTTCCCTCTAGAGCAAAGGATATGCGATTGGCAATGCCCCCGAGTTGGCCAAGGCACATAATAGCCATGCCAGGTGTGTGGGAGCTGATGGGGGTGGGGGTAAGGAAGGGCTGTCGCATTCTGGGTCCTGACTCTGTCCTTCCCCAGGCCCGAGCCACGCCACCTTCCGGAGAAGCAGAATGGCCTTAGTGCAGTGCGGACCATGGAAGCATTCCACTTTGTCAGCTATGTGCCTATCACAGGCCGGCTTTTTGAGCTGGATGGGCTCAAGGTCTACCCCATTGACCATGGTAGGCACTGTGAGCTGGGGGCCCTTTGGGTTTCTCTGTTTAACTCCTAAAGAGCTGAGGTCCAGTGTCCTCAGGTGCTTGGGACTCAGTGGTCGGGGGTGGGTGGTGGGTGTTTAGGATATCTGGCTTTGGCCAGATGGCACCCTGCACTGCATTGCCTGACTAGTCTCTGATTCCCTGGCTCAACTACTCTCCATCCCCATGCCCACTCTTGGCTTGTTCAAACTCAGAGCGTCCCACTTGCTGACTCCTCATCTTGGTGTTCCTTAGGGCCCTGGGGGGAGGATGAGGAGTGGACAGACAAGGCCCGGCGGGTCATCATGGAGCGCATTGGCCTTGCTACTGCAGGGTAAGGGCTCTGTGCCTCCCCTATCCTCTGGACCTGGGTCCCCACTGGGAGGGATATAGAAAAGAGAACCAAGGCAGAGAAAAGCCAGGTGACTTGTGCAAGGCCATGTGGCTAATCTGAAAAGGTCAGACTTAGATCTTGGCTCCCAACTCATTGCCCTGGCTGCCTGTGGCCTGCTTTGGGGAGGGGGAAATCTTGGTGGAGCCCTGGGTGGTCCAGGTATGCTGGTTCACTTCTTGCCAGGCCCCTTACACAGTTCACTGGAAGTTACCAGCTCAGGAGGCTGGTGTGCATGGTTAGCTGTCATGGGTCCTGTGCCTATATGGCTGTAGGAGTGACTTCAGGAAGCCCTGACAGGATATCTGCCTCAACCTGATGGTGGGGCTTGGGCGGGAGCTGCTCTCACAGCTGCAGCTGTGACTGCAGGGAGCCCTACCATGATATCCGCTTCAACCTGATGGCGGTGGTGCCTGACCGCAGGATCAAGTATGAGGCTAGGCTGCATGTACTGAAGGTGAATCGTCAGACAGTACTGGAGGCTCTGCAGCAGGTGGGTACCCTCCTGCCTGGTCCCTTCCCAGCCATCTTCTCACCAGGGCCTCTGTTTCTCCAAATCACCTTTGTGGATCTGGGCTTTAACCAACCACTACTTTTGTACCATTTTTGGGAAAGGTGGGACTTGGGATGGGGAGGGAAAGTCATTTCCTAAAGGAGGTTTGGGTTTCACTGTTCTATTTCTTTGCAAGGGAGTGGGTAGAACCAAGGCTCTTAGCTGTCTGAGGTAGAGGCTGGGGCTGCCTTCTCTCCTCTGAGCCTTGGATTCTGTTTTCAGTTGATCAGGGTCACACAACCAGAGTTGATTCAGACTCACAAGTCACAAGAGTCACAGCTGCCTGAGGAGACCAAACCAGTCAGTGGCAAGTCCCCTGTGGCCCTGGAGGCAAGCAGGGCCCCAGTGGCCACTGAGGGCACCCATACAGGTACTCAGGGTCTTAGGGCCTCTTGTGTGCCTTATCGCTTGACCTGGGAGACCCAAACGGAGCAAGTCTTTTCCTATGGAGGCACTTGGGCATACTACAGGAGGCTTAAAGCCTCAATGCTTGTATACCTCTCCCTTCCAAACATGGAGGGAGAGCAGTTTTTCCCTAAAGAAATGCAACTGTAAAGGGCTGCCATTACCAAAGGCCCCTGAGCCTTTTCTGTAATGCATATCCCTTTCTGGTTTTCTTAGAGGCTTTTTTTTTCTTTCTGCTTCCCTCTCTTTTTCCAGTTTACTCTTCTGTCTTGCTGTGGATCCATGAATGACTTCCATTCTACCAGCTTGCTTGGCTATCCCCTGGGAAGGGAGGGGGAGCAGTACAGTGTCACAGGAGTGGGGAGACAGTGGGCTGGGGACAGCTTTTCTTGAGGAGCTGGCTGAAAGTCCTGCTTGTGCTCCTTCTCTCAGATGGTGTGGAGGAGGTGGCTGGAGGAGGTACATGCCCACAAGCTCTGACCCACAGTCCTCCCAGCAAACCCAAGCTGGTGGTGAAATCTTCAGGGAACAGCCTCAATGGTGTTCCCCCCAACCCCACTCCCATCGTCCAGCGGCTGCCTGCTTTTCTGGACAATCACAACTATGCTAAGTCCCCCATGCAGGTGAGCTGGGAGTGCCCCCACAGGATTCCCTCCAGAATTCTCTTGAAAGGCTGCCACAGGCATTTTCCTCAGGTGGTTCTTGACGTTCATCA